AAGCGATGTTAGGAGAGAAGCTGAGCAAAACAAAAAGACAAATTGCAGCTCAGGTTTTACAGAACAAGATTTTTAAAGTTGATTTGATCCAAAATACATTTAGTTTTCTGCATAGTTTCAGTTTCTGTTCCTAAGATGCATTTTGACATTCATTGTAGAGAAATTAAATCATTTCTTTCCTCTTGTTCTCTCATCACTTTGTCTAAAAATGAGAACAATTGATGTAAATGTAGAAAAAAATGTTTGCAAACTGATATCTGGAGTGAATGAATGAATTTTTGTGATAAAACTTATTGTAATAGTGGCTTCAAAAACTCTTAAAAYTCCTCTTGAACAAAAAGTAAACATATTTTCCTTGATGGACAAAAAAAAAAGGAAACTGTAAACAGAAAAAAATGCTTAACATTTGAATGTTTGATGTCCAAATTCAGAATGTTTTTGGTAAATTCAAATAAATTGTTTCTTTTTTATTCCAAAGGAACAAAACCATTGTTATTCATAGTTTAAATGTGATATTTACCTAAATTTTCATGATCATAGCTCTTTAGTATTTCATCCATAACCTGTTTTATTTTATTAAACATTGACATTATTTTATTTATTATTTTTTAAGCATTTTAAACATAAACACTGCTCAATTAAAACAGTAAAAAAGAAGAAAACAGCAACTTTTCTCTGTCCAAACATAAAAACACTCTCTGCTGAGACCTATTTCTGATGCTAACATGCAGGTTTGTACTTTAACTTTGTAAATTAATCATTAGATGAGTTCGACAAGTCGTTTCAGCTTCGACCCGTCAGTAAACTTTGACAGTTCAGTCCTCGTGCTGCACAGATGATTCAGGTGAATGTTATGAATATTTCACAGCCTCGTGTTATTAAAGGCTCTAAAAAAGTCTGTCTGAGCCTCTAAAGTTGCTCTAGTGTTATTAAAATATGTTGTTTTGTTCATACTGGAGTAAAGACTGAAGTTTGGGGTCAGCAGTGAGGGTCAAAGTGACCAAGTGCTGAGTCATGTTTTCCTTCAGGTCCCACAGAGCCCTTCAGGTGGGCCCTTTAGGTGGGCCCTTTAGGTGGGCACTGTGTTGGTGGCTGCGTTTCCTCCGTCGCTCCTCCAGTCCATGTAAGAGAAGAAAGCACTCACTCCGTAGGCCAGAGTCGACGCGGCGGCGAAGAACTGCAGGTGAAACAGGAAGTAAATCCTGACATAAATACATCCATCAACTCCAGCTGATTCARCATCTTTAATCTTTAAGCTTCTGTAAAATGATAAGTTTCTGTTATAGAGAAGTTACAAACACCCCTCACACCCTGATCAGAGTTAATGTGGGTCTGAATAGGTCTYATAATAACTGACTGAAAAAAACTGAAATGTTTGAATTTATGAGCTAAAAGCTGCTGTGGCTTTAACTCAAGTTAGACTTTAGTCCCAGTAAAAGAGCTGTAAAGTAAAGCTCTCWTATTTCACTGTGATTTCCAGCTGCAATAAAATATAAAATCATCTTAAACAGAACTAATGACTACAGGATAAAGTACATATTATGTGATTAAAGTTGCAGTTTCAGTGTTTTATATAAATAAAGTGAGTTGTGTTGAAGTCTTACAGCAGCCGCTCCAATGTGTCCATGGAACCACAGCAGCCAGAATTTATTCACAGTCGCTGCGTTGGTCAGGAAGGCTGTGAGATAAAGAACCGCTGCAACACCGTTATACATCATCACCTGTCAGAAAGGAAGGAAAACACATTTTATTTACAGTTTCTGAGGATTTATCAGTGCTGTGCCTCATTTAACTCCTCATTTTGAGCTAAACTTTGAATTAAAACGTGCAAATTATACATTAAAACATGAAGCTCATTGTGTTTTGACATTTAATAACATTGCGTTGCATAGACAAAAAWTTTTTTAAAAAATGCAAGAAAATGTAATGGCAGGAGTGGTTCTAGGGGCGGGGCCACAGGGGCATTGGCCCCAGCTGAAATATGATTGGCCCCCTGAAGTGCCCCTGTCCTGTCACTCATCTGTCCTTTGCCCAAGAGTAATGATGGTGGGTGCAGTTCCATGTTCAAACACTAGAGGCACCAATGAGTCAGATGCTGTGTGTTTGAGAGTATTTGATCTATGTACAGTAAAAATACATGTAAAACTTGTAAGGAGAATATACATGCAAGCTTTTTTAAATTACATTACAAGAGTTTGAACATGTGTGACAATTTAAATGTATACATCTTAATCAAAATCAGAGATTTGTGTACAAAGATGTTATGGTGCGTTCACACCGAACGCGATTTCAGCGTCAAAATCGCAGCCAACGCTGAAGTTTGAAGCTTGTGCACTTTGAGGTCAGACGCAGGACAGCTGCGCTGCACGGCGACAGCCGCCCCGCCCCTCCCTTTTTTCAGTCTGATGAGTCGCTGTCACGCATTGCTGCGGATCAGGACACGACTGCAGCAC